CTATTTTTAAATATTGGAACTACTTTTGCCTATTTTAAGTGGTCAGGAAAACTCTACTTTTAAAAGAAAGATGCAAAGAAAAAGTAATAGATATTCAATAATATTAAAAATCTATTATTCATACATTATTTATACATATTAAAAGTACTATTTAACATATTACTATTTAAACCTTGAGGTTTACTTCATCAAGACCAGAGTTTTTGTTTGGTTTAATTAAAATAAAAACATAAAAAATTTTATCATTCCATTTTAATATTTCATCATTTAAAAATTTTCATCAGAATTACCTCAAGGTCATCCGTTTCGAAATTTACTTTTTGATGACTTGAAATTTAGTTTTTCCTGGAGTTATTTTATTTGCTATGTTATTTCCAATGTTAATAAAGAAACTCAAACTTTCTTGAATAACTTTTGATTTTTAATTACCTTTTCTTTTTCTTTTTTTAAAGATTTTTTTAATATTTCATTTAAGAAATTTACATAGAGTATGTTATTTCTTAAAAAATAAATAACTATTTGTAATTCATGGACTTTGCAAGTTACACAAGTTGGCTTGTAAATTACAGAAAAGGTCATCTTTATCACTTAAGTTACACAAGTTGGCTTGTAAACTATAGAAAAGGTCATCTTTATCACTTAAGTTACGCAAGTTGGCTTGTAAACTATAGAAAGGGTTTTATCAGTTTAAACATTTAAAAGATTAAGATTATACTGTGATGTTTGTTATTTCCTTTTTTCATTTTCTAATGTTATAAGGTATGTTTAAAGTAAATGTTGGAAATAACATTTGTTAATACATAAATAACGTTTTTTCCTTTTAACCGCCTTTCTTTTACTTTTTTATGCAGGTATGCCGTCTCATGCGAGAAGTCTTTATCTATGTATATATTGACACCCTTTAGTTTTCTTGCTTTTTCAAAATGTTCGATATATCTTTATAACGATTTAACTTTATTTATGTTTATCTTTTATTTTTAGTGTTTATCTTGTTCAAGTTTCGACTTGGCCAGTTACAGAAAAGACCCAAATGACGCTCAGGAATTGCAAGCATCTTGCTGAAAACAGCAGCCTGCTTTGGATCAAGCTCTTCCACCATGCGTCTTGACAAAAGTTAAATCAACTTCCTTAACTTCGTTGTTAATTTTATCAACACGTTTAATACAATCTTTTGTGAAAGCAAAGTTTTTCTATTAAATTAAAAAGTCTACTTTGTTGTACGGGTCAAGTATGTAAGCAATAATATAGATGGTATCCTCCATGCAATCTTCTGGAAAATGATTGAGATGAGATTATCATGTGTACTGTAGATATCTTGTCAACAGATATTTTACAAAGCTAGAAGCTAGAGTTCCCAAAATAGTGGAAAAGTTGTTTAATTTAAGAAAAAGAGAATGAAAGTCAGAACAAATTTTGCCACTCATTGATAAGTTATCTAAATTTTAAAAGAATATGCAGGTTTTGCTGTTTCCTGTAACGTTTCCTGTGATTGTTGTGCATATACTGATTCAAAATCAATCACTTCCTTCTCGACCATCTAGTTTTTGCTTTCTCTATCAATGCAAGATTTTCAGATTGCAAATTTTTTTTTGGAAGCATGAGATTTCTGCTAATAAAGTATATGTAGTTTCTTTTTTGATACAAATCCGAATAGGTCTAGCATTGTTAAGAAACTTGTTGCAGTAAAAAATTTTGGGGTTGCGGCGTTTCTCAACAACTTTTAGATAGTTACATCTTTTTTGTATGTTTTAAAGTTGGACAAAAAATGAGGTTGTTATGACAGAACTTCGAAAGCAAAATTCGCGTAGAATAAAATTTACGCGCGAAAAATTTACCACTTAATTTTAATTTTAATAATTTTAAATACTGTTTTGGAAACTCTAAAATTTGAATTATAGGAAAAAATTGATATTTGAAAAAATTGATTTTTGTTACCTTTTAAAATTTTTTTATAACCAATAAATTAAATTTAATTGCTTTACTACTATCTTTACCATAATTTTTAATGGTAAAAAATACATTAAAAATAAAGTTTTTATTTTTACTTTGAACTACCCATTAAGATAAAATATTTTTTTATTTTTTAAATTTTAGAAAAGTGAATTGATGTGGGAAATTTGAGAAAGTAAATTTCTTTAATTTTCAGTCAAAAAACTAAAAATTTAATTGCGGTTCCACCTAGTATTTACAAAAACTTTTTCTTAAAAAAACTATAACGGCAGTAAATTTTTGGGTTTAAATTTTTTAAAACTGAATTTTTTAAAATGCTGACAGCTCTGTTAATATAACAAAACTAGCAGTAACCAACCCGTAATACGGGTTGTTAGTAAATAAAATTAAAAAAAAAAACCGCGTATAGAAAAGCCTAGGAACTACTTTAAAATAGAAAAACCTAGAGAATGACGTAAGTCATTAAATTATATTACTATTAACTACCACTATTAAATTAGCGTATTAATATTATCAGATTATTTATAAAAGCGTAATTTTTGTGTAAAATGGGTATTTCTGACTGTTGTGTGAGGTGAACTGCTAAATCAACACACTTTTTGACAGCTATTTAAATAAGGTTGGCTTCATCAATGCTCTATGTAACAGACAAGTGCACAGTGGATTTCTGTTTGCAGTTCTAAGATTTTTTCAACAGGTATAACAATATTTTCACCTCTGTCAATCACACATTACCTGTGTGTTATCTCTTTGGGAATTTAGACCCTAAATAAGACTATCAAGCTAGATTACAATTATTTTCCTAACATGCCTTTCTTCTCTGAATGGCTTCGTTATAACAAGGAATAATTTTAACTGAAACTTTTTTGTGATACAGGTTAAAGATTTGTAAGAGTCATTATTTCTAATTTCTGCATGTGAGTAATATCTCTCCTATAAGCTTTAGTAATAAGTTTGAGTTAAATAAAAATGATAACTATAATCTTAGAGCGAATTTGTTGAACACATATAAACTGCCTAGGATAATAAATAAATATTCAGAATACAGTATTTTATATCGAGGTCCAAAAGTATGGAATATTTTTCAAAAAGGGTTCAAAGGTACGGTGAGTTCATTAAGTTCATTCAAGTTTTAAACAAAAAAAGAAATCTTTAAAACCTGTGAAACATTTTTTGTTAAAAATCCATTGGATAAATTCTGTTAAATACGTTTTTGTTTTTTTTCTACTTTTGTTTGTTGCTTGACAAATTTTATTAGCGGATTACGCATTTTGTTATGATATTTTATTGAAATTTTTATTTTGTATTTCATATTACGATATTTTAATTAAATCTAGTTAAAGGGGTTCTATGAAAAGATTGCGATGACGTTCTGTCATCCTCGTCTTTTTTGAGCTCCTATCTGTTTTACTTGTTTTGTTAAATTTTATATTATGTAGTGGAATTTGTGAAATTCTTATGTTATGTAAACAGAGAAAGAAGAAAAAAAAAAAAAAAAAAAGTAATGAAAACTACATCTGTTAGAGAGAAAATATTTTTGAAATTATCAGAAATAACTTTTTTTACTGTTTCATACAGTTCTGAAAAGTACTTTCGGTAATAATTAGTTGAATCTCTAAATGTGAGCTTTAAGTCAATTGATTCAATAAATTTCATCATCAGTTGATACTAGATTGAATGGAGTATATCTTGTGCTCAACATGGCAGTAAAATTGTTGCTAAGTTTTATTTGTTTAGGGTCTGTGGCATTGAGATAAACATAAAATGCTCTTTTGATTAAGGGTTGTGTGGTATTTAGTTCGTTCTTTCAATTCTTGAAAACAGCTTTTACCTGTTTAGGTTTGTCATTATCAAAGTGATGCCGAATTGAATTTATTTTTGGCATTTTGTCGCAAAAAAATCTGGAACCTCGATTTTTAACAACAACAAAATTCTCAACATTATATTTGTTTTCCTATACAAATATGATACTAAAAATAAGTAAACAATAAAAAAAAATTAATTATTAATAGTAGTAACAAAATAAAACATTTAAAAACAATGGTGGTGTCAAACAGTAATTTGAACTAAGCAGCGACACCGAACATTAAAAGTTTTGATAATTAACTCAAAAGTAAATAAAAGTAATGGTTATTATAATAAATGTCAATATTAACAAATAAGAGTAATAAGTAAATAATTTTGTTTATATTTATATAATTGTTTATTTAATATAGGTGCCCCAGGAAGTCCTAACGGTCTTATCGCAGAGAACTGTGGAAGACCATTTGAAAGGAAGTTCGCGGCTCCATCCTTACCAATTTTATATAACTTGCCTAAAGGTGATGTTGAAACACGGATCTTTATCTTCTGAGGCAATTGCGCTAACTACTCGTAGAGGTAATAACACTTATAAGCGCTAACTACTCGTAGAAGTAATAACACTTATAAGCGCTAACTACTTGTAGAAGTAATAACACTTATAAGCGCTAACTACTCGTAGAAGTAATAGCACTTATAAGCGCTAACTACTCGTAGAAGTAATAACACTTATAAGCGCTAACTACTCGTAGAAGTAATAACACTTATAAGCGCTAACTACTCGTAGAAGTAATAACACTTATAAGCGCTAGCTACTCGTAGAAGTAATAACACTTATACGCGCTAGCTACTCGTAGAAGTAATAACACTTATAAGCAAAGGATTGATCACTTAAATAAAAATCTGATCAATAATTTGCTTATTATAATAACACTATGGTGTATTTAATTCTAACTTTATAAAAAAATTAAAATCAAAATAAACATTAAAGAAATAATTGTTAATAAAATAAAAATATTATTTTTATATCATTTTATTATAAATAATATTATTTATAATAAAATGATATAAAAACAATATTAATAAATATTTCACTCAACAATCAATATTTTATTATAAATAATATTATTTATAATAAAATGATATAAAAACAATATTAATAAATATTTCAGTCAACAATCAATACACAATTACAATTAACAGATAAAACAAAAATGATTGAAAGTATAAAAACGCGTAGAAAAAAATCAACTCATCTGAAAGTTGTTTATGACTTAAATATGTTGATTGAAATTTGATAAGAAACAAACTTCTTTTTAAGACTTTTTACAATGATATGATGAGGTTTTTTTTAGTAGCAATTTCTTGGTAAACAATTAATTGTTTTCAATTTAAATTATGGTTTAATGATGTTATAAGTATTGTAAGTATTAATTAATTCAATCTATATATCATATTATGCTCACATTTGTTTGTATATTTAAACCAATAGACACTCAGAACATTGCGTAAGATTTAAAAAGTTTAGTTAATTTAAAAGGATTACAAGTTTATATTAGAAGTTTACATATTACAAGTTTACATTTCATGCGTTTCAGACTTAATTAAATATGTAAACTAAAACCTGTTTTAAACTGATTTTAAATTCAATATGATTCAATATGATCAATTTGAACTATATTTGATTATATTCAGAAAGAGACGAAGAACAAAAAGAAAATAGGTATTTTTCAAAATTTAAAAAAACTATTTTGACGTCAAAAAAAAACTATTTTGAGTCAAACTATATAAACATTTTTTATTTAACTATATAAATAAATTTTATTTATTCCAAAACGAAAAAAGAATTACTTTTTAATAATAATTAAGTTACGTTTTATCTAAATTTCCGTAAATAGGATTCATCCGTAATTTACAACTTCCACAGTACTATTTAGTAATTTTGTATTTTTAAATTTTCTATTTAGCAAAAAAAAAGTTCGAATTAAAGTGAGGTACTGTATTTTATAGATTTAAACTATAATCTTTATGTCTTTATTTAGTAACGATAAAGAAAAAAATTGTTGAGCATGCAAATGTATATAAAGTAATAATTTCATATTATAGTAAAAAGGTTCCCGGTGGGAAAATGGCTTGCGACCAGCTAGCGACATTTGTAACACTAAGTACAATGATTTGGCCACAAGGGTTGCTAACCTGATAAACTAGCGACTAGCTAGCTATATAAGCTAGCGACTAGCTAACTATATAAGCTAGTGACTAGCAGCCTATAAAAGCTAGTGACTATACAAGCTAGCGATTAACTAGTGATATAAACTTACGACTAGCCTGCGACAGCTCAATAAACACAGCAATTTTGGAAACGAGGATTGCCAGCCAAATAAGCTAGCTAATAATAAATCGTTAACATAAAGACAGAGATTTAGCCACGAGAATCGCTAATCAGATAAGCTTGAGGCTACTCGTAACGCTAAAGAGCAATTTGGTCATGCGGATCGTTTGACAGATAAGATTGAGACTACTTGTAACACTAAAGACAGCAATTTGGTCACCGGGTCATTAACTACTAACTAGTGACCAACCAAAACGATTGAAGTAGTTGTCTTTACGTAGGTAGAAGAATCTCTAGCTACGTATGACAGGGGACTATATTTTAGCATAATAATCATTTAAGTAAAATTAGATTTATAAAAAATCAAATACAAAATGTATAAAATTTGTTTTAATAAAAAGATTAAAATTTATAAGTCTGGTTTCAATAGATTCTAAAAAGGATTATTATTTAAAATTAAAGCTAAATATTTTTGCTAACATTAAATTTGTAAGTATATTAAGAAATTTATAGAAAATTTATAAAAAATTAATTAAAAAGATAATAAAATACATTTTTTTGAGTACTCCTTTTTAGCATTTTTACTTCCTTCTAACTTTCAAAAATAAATGGCAATAAAGTTACAACAAATAAAAAACTATTTGCAGCAAGCATCAGCATGACAACTTATTGTTATTGATAATAAGTTGTCATATAAAATGTTTGATGGAATCATTAATCAATAATTCAATAGTGTTAAATTTTTTTTATTTTTCTAACAGGAATTTTCTTTATTATTGAAAAAGAATTTTTTTTATGCAAAATATCGATCTTTTGATTTTTTCAAATGTTTTGCAATGAATGCAGTCATATTTGTGTAGTAGGCCGTTGGAAATAAAGAGTAAACTGCATTATACATCAAACTTTTAACTGACCTCATAAACTTGTGCTTTTTCTCTGTCCCAGTTCAATTTATATTTCCACGAAACTTATCTGTTATGCAAGTTTTGAAGTCTTTTTTTAAAAACTGCTCAAATTATTTTCACCAATTTGCTTTATCTTTCTGCAAATAAAATTTTTATCATTTGAGTTACTTATTTTACTTTTAAGTAAGTCAAGTTTTTTAACCGAATTAGCTGGTAAATATTGTAAATTGAAATTTTTTTGGTGACATTTCACTGTGTCTTTTAATCAAATTATGAAAATTTTTGAAATAAAGAGATTCCGATTAGAGAAATTGTACTGTAATAAAAATATAACAGCCATAACACATATTCACAAAAATATGACCGCCATAATATTTGCGTAGGAGTTCTCTGTAATTAATCTACTTACTTAAAAAGAATCATTATTAAAGTCAGGGTCGATTCTAATATTAAATTGCTGGGGCGAACCTTTAAAAACTTCCGACTGCTTTCTGAAAAAAAAGGTCCTCAAAACTAAAAATAGTGCTAAGTCAGTGATTATGATTTTTTGTTGTGTGATTTTGCAGAGTACCGATGTTAGTGAGACTTGCCTATAATGTATATATATATATATATATATATACATATATATATATATATATATATATATATATATATATATATATATATATATATATATATATATATATATATATATATATATATATATATATATATATATATATATATATATACATATATATATTATAGGCAAGTTTCACTAACATCGGTACCCTGCAAAATCGTGCAATAAAAAATCATAAATCACTGACTTACCACTAACCTAATATCCAAAGAACATCACGGACTTCTTCATCGTAAGGATACACATCGAAATTACTTGAAACTTAGGATATACTAACAGAAGCAATGCATCATTGCTACGCCACTGATATCATCTTCACTGATTTTGAGAAAGACTTTGATAAAGTTCCACACGTTGGACTTTTACACAAACTTAAAGTCTATGGTATAAACGGCTTGGTCTTGGACTGGATAGCAAACTGGCTAATAAATCGTTATCAACAGGTTGTAATTGGAAAGCATAAATCTAAATGAAAATATGTAACTAGCGGGGTACCCCAGAACTCTATGCTCGATCCATTTCTTTTTTTCTTATATATAAACGATCTGCCGGACTATATTACTCATCTCATAAAGATTTGCCAACAATTGCAAAATACTCGAGGTTCTAAAATCTGAGGAGGACAAAAGAACCTTGCAAGTTGACAAAGGTAACTTAGTAGATTGGTCGCATAAATGGAATATGCCTCTCATCTTTTATAAGTGTTAAGTGCTACTCCAGGCATTTCAGCATGGTAGTGCCTGATGTAGCACTTTCTTATTAATATATATAAATGTAATATGTGCATATAAAATTGATTTTTGAAATACATAAACTCTTATTAAAGGACTCAAAATTTAAAGCAGAGCAACAAAACTAGTTCCCTAATTAAATCTCGATTGGAAAATTTGGGAAACTTTTATAACGACAAGTGAGAGACGATTTAATTCCGTATTTAAAAATCTACAAGAATTCTAATGAAATCAAGTTCCTAAATTCAAATATAACACCCACTTGTTTTTCAAATTGTTCTCCTGGTAACTTACGAAACAAAATCCACAACCGTGCCATAATCACAGAAATTTCAAAAAACTCGCTTAGACATAGCTTCTTATCTAATAGAATTACATCCCAATGGAATGCCTTGCCTTTTTCTCTTGTTTTCTCACATTCTATCAACGAATTTATAAACAAATACAATAATTTTTGTCGCTCCACTAGAATAAAGTGTAGTAACTATGATAATAATAATAATAATGATAATAAAACTAGTTATATTATATTATATATATATATATATATATATATATATATATATATATATATATATATATATATATATATATATATATATATATATATATATATATATATATGTATATATATATATATATATATATATATATATATATATATATATATATATATATATATATATATATATATATATATATATATATAATATAACTAGTTTTGTTGCTCTGCGTTAAATTTTGAGTCCTTTAATATTTTTCTTCAAATAGGGGTTCAATACTGCAGCGCAAAACTCATGCAGCGGGCGTACATAGTTAGTATATAGTTCTAAAAACACAGTAAAAACATAAAGTTCTTTTAAGAATACCAAGCATCTGGTTACCTCCTAGTGACTTTTTAATATCACTCCTAGTGACTTTTTAATATCAACATTTTCAAAAAGAATAAGAGTATTTGATGGGTTAGGCATACCAAAAGAGTAGTCTAAAACATCAAAACTACCAGTAAAGTTTATTACTTACTACACTCCACTCCACTCAGCACATCTATTCAGTCAAAAGAGGATTTACCAAGAATAACACACTCCTAGCAAATATTATTTTAGTGGATTTGCAGTGAACCTATATAGGCATTTTTGAGCGGTTCATTGGAGTTTTGCTCATTTGTTACTTAGTGACCGTTAGTAGAAGACGCTATAAATGGCCAACTAAATAACTTTCCGACATGTTAATAGTGACTATTTATTGACTAGCCACCTTCAGCGGCTGCCATTAATAGTCTACTAAGCAACCGGTTAGCAAAACTACAGTGGGCCGCTCAAAATACCTATTAGGTCCACTAAAATTCCGCTATAGAAAGTTTGCTAGATTGTTTTCTATTGGTCAAATATTTTTTTATCTAATTGTGGATCATATCACAGAAACCATATTTCTTGGTTTCAAGAGAATAAGAATGTGGGAGACACAACTAAATGCTTTAGTAAAGTCTAACAGAACTAGTAGTGCAGAGCAATGTCATTAAGACCTTCGGTAACAATGTCTAATACTTCTTAAAGATTAGTTGTATGTTAGTTGTACTGATTTTGAACAAATTTATGTCGATAACAGAATAATAAATTGTGGGTGTACAAAAGGTCTGCCATAAAGTCACGAAGTAACTTTTCCATAACTTTACAAACGACAGAAGTAAATGAAATAGGCTGATAGTTTTCTGGATCAGTACGACAAACTTTCTTGTGAATAAGTAAGAAAATTTTCAAGCCACCAATATGATGAAACTTGACCAAAAACTATGGAGCATTTAAATATAAGTGAAAGTGGCTTACTGAA